GCAAAAGATTCATAAATTGAGAGGCTGGGGTTGTGGCGCAGTGGTAGGGCGCTTGCCTAACATGCATGAGGCACTGGATTCGATCCTCAGCACCACATAAATATAAAATAAAGATATTGTGTCCACCTAAAAAACTAAAAAATAAATATTTTTTAAAAAGATTCATACAGGGCTGGGGATGTGGCTCAAGCAGTAGCGCGCTCGCCTGGCATGCGTGCGGCCCGGGTTCGATCCTCAGCACCACATACAAACAAAGATGTTGTGTCCACCAAAAACTAAAAAATAAATATTAAAATTCTCTCTCTCCCTCTCTAAAAAAAATTCATACATTGAAAGCTACAAAACATCACAGTAAGTTGAAAAAAACATAAATAAATGGAAACACATCTTGCGCTCATAGATGGAAGACTTAATATTGTTAAAGTGATAAAACTACTCTGACATTTTTTGCAGACTCAAAAAAACCCATTCTATATTTCATGTGGAACATCAAGGGACCCCCAAATAGCCAAAACAATCTTGAAAAAGAAGAACAAATTGGAGGATCCATACATCCTAATTTCAAAACTTTCTACAAAGTTATAATAATGAAAATAGTGTGGGTGTACTCTTAGTTCCTTTTGTGTTTGTTACTATAATAAAATACAYGAAGTTGGATAGTTTATAAAGAAAATAGATTTACTTACTCTGTGTATTTATTTACTCTATGAATTTTCCAGATCTTCCCACTCTGCTCCCCTTTGCCCCTGAATCTGAGCATAAGCAGTTGAAAGTAACCAGGCAGCAGCCTAAATTTTTTGTTTAGAAATGTCTTCAGTATTCACCATCCTTAGATTTGGTCCACCACAAAGCCTTCAGGCATGGACACAGTGCAATGAGATCTTCACAGTGGCCTGACAAGGGTGGCCTTTATTCTGGTTCCCAGCACGATGTTCTTATTTCTATCAGCATTCTGGTCATAAACTCTTCACCAATCTCCAAGAATTTCTAGCTTCCTATCTACTAAGTCCTCACCAAAATCACCCATAATTCTCCATTTATAGCATTCTAGACTTTTACTAGGCTGTTCCTCCAAACTCTTCCACCCTGTGCCCATTACCCAGTTCCAAAGTCCCTTCCATATTTTCATGTGCCTTTATAGGAAATACCCCATTCTCAGTACCAATCTCCTTTTTTAATTCACTTCCTATTGCTATAACACCTTTTTAAAATAATGTTATTGTATTTTCATACCTTTCTTTTTTATTCTTTTTTTAGTTTTTGATGTATCTTTATTTTATTTRTTTTTATGTGGTGCAGAGGATCAAACCCAATGCCTCACACATGCCAGTCAAGCACTCCAATACTGAGCTACAAACTCAGCCCCCCATAATGCCTTCTGATCACCCATAACTTTCATTCTCAAGAGAACTCTAGGCTCTGAAACATGCAGGATTCCTCCTGAGGAGGGCTCCTCACTCCTGACCTAATCACCTTTCCCTGGGCTCCACTTGCTCTGAGAGACCCAGCCCCTTGACATCACTACATTGGGTACCAGGCCTCCCACATATGAACCTCAGGCAGATGAGCCACATTCAGTCATGGCACAGTGGCATAAGGATAGGCRTGGAGAGTGGAAGAAAAGAGGCCAGAACTGAATTCTCAGATACGATCAATTGGTTTTAATCAAGGACTAAATAGGTCCCCAAAATTCACATCCTGAAATCCTAACCACACTGGAACTGTATTTGGAAATATGGCCCCTGAGAAGGTGGTAACGATTAATTAGATGAGCTTATAGGGGTGGACCTGATCCAATAGGGCTGTTGCTTTTTTTTCCCCTCAGGTACAGGGATTGAACCCAGGGCGCTCTTCACTAAGCTACACCCATTCCAGCATGCACTCCCCCCTAAAATTCTAGGCCCCACTGAGTGACCCAGGATGGCCTCAACCTTGGAATCCCTGCCTCAGCCTCCTGAACGGCTGGGATTACAGGTGTGTACCACCATGCCCAGCTAGGGCTGATGCTTTTATGAGAGGAAGGAACACTAGAGATCTCTTTTTCTCTGCCCTGTGAGGACACAACAAGAAAGTAGCCATCTGCAAGTCAGGAAGAGAGCCCTCACCAGGAACTAACTGGCACCTTCAACTGGACTTCAGCCTCATGACTATGAGAAATAAACGCCTGTTGTTTAGCCATCCAGTCTGTGGTACTCTGTTGTGGCAGCCGAGCTGACTGATACACCATGCAGCATGGAAAGGAAAATCTATTGAGCAGTATTGCTGGGAAAACTGGGTATTCACACACAGAAGCCTGGCATTGGACTCACCTTGTGCATATACAAAAATTAGCTCAAAATAGATCAAAGTCCCAAAATGTAAGATCTAAAACTATTAACTCCTTAGAAGAAAACACGGTAGGCAGACTTAATGACTCGTGCTTACAATGATTCCTTGCCTGTGATACATAAATGCACAGGGAATAAAAGAAAAATTAGATAAACTGGACTTCATCAGAATCAAAATTTTTTTGCATTATAGGACACTATCATGAGAATGAAAAGATTAGTCCACAAAATAGAAAAATATTTTCAAATCATATATCTGATAAGGGACTAATATCCAAAATATATGAAGAACTACAACTCAACAACAAAAAAAGACTCAGTTAAAAAAATAGGCAAAGGGAGGCTAGGGTTATAGCTCAGTGGTAGAATGCTCACATAGCATGTGTGAAGCACTGGGTTCGATCCCCAGCACCATACAAAAATAAATAATTGAAGGGCTGGAGATGTGGCTCAGCGGTAGCGCGCTCGCCTGGCATGCGTGCGGCCCGGGTTCGATCCTCAGCACCACATACAGGCAAAGATGTTGTGTCCGCCGAGAACTAAAAAATAAATATTAAAAATAAATAATTGAATAAAATAAAGGAATTGTGTCCATCTACAACTTAAAAAAAATCTTTAAAAGAATGGTCAAAGGACTTGAGTAGACATTTCTCCAAAGAAAATACACAAATGGTCAGTAAACACCTGGAGATATGCTGAACGTGACTGGCCACTAAGGAAATGCAAATCAAAACCATAGTATCTAATGTTTTGAACAACCAATAAAAAAAAAAAAAAAAAAAAACCACAGTGTCACTTCACTCCTATTAGGATGCCTCCTACGAAAAAGCAGAAAATAATACCCAAGCTGGTGGGAATGCGAAGAAAGGCAGAACCTGTGGTAACTCCTGTGCCCCCCAGATTCTGACCTAGAGGCACTGAAAGCAGGGGCTCAACACACGTCATACAACGACATCGACATCAGTGTCCACACCCAGTTTCCAGCTGCAGGCCAGGGAGAGGTGCAGGGGAGACAAGGCAGAGCCACCCAGTGGAATCTTACTCATCTGAAAAAGGAAGGGACCTGTGTCAGGCTGAAGGTGAGGCGCCTGGACCACACTGTGCTCCAGGAACACATCTCACAGGACTCCCCTKGCATGAGGTTTCTAAGAGGCAAATTCAGAGCCAGAAAGTGAGCTGAGGGTACAGAGGCAGTACCTGGTGAAAGGAAAACAAGGAACTGGGAGCCAGGCCAGCGAGAAATGAAAGACAGAAACCAGGCAGAGATACACAAGAGAGTTTATTTGTCAGAGCTGACAATAAAGGCCACCTCTCCATAGACGGAGAAAGGCAAAACAGACTTGGGGTTCAGGACTTTCATTGGGCAGGCTCAGGGATTAGAGCCTGGGGCCCTAATGCAGGTGGTTAATGGTGGGTTGGTATGAGGGAGTGGTAAGCCTTTCTCAGAAAGGCCCTTGGGCCAGAAAGCAAAATATTTCTTAAAATGGTGCTGTCACTTAAGATGGCCATCCAGATGCTAAGCAAGGACCTTACACTGGGAGAGCTTCTGTGTCAGAGGCAGAGTTTTGTTTGGGATGACAGAACAGTGTGCGAAAGAGCTGTGAAGTTCAGACAACACTGCACGAGTGCTTCATACTACCACGCTGCAACCTTGAAACGGTAAGAGGATGCATTTTATGTTAGACACATTTTACCACTATAAAAAGCAACTTTAACTCAATGACAGGGAGAAGAAGGAGTCATGTGTGGCTTTTTGTAATTTTGTCCTGTATGGCGTTCTCTCCAATGTGGGTTCCTGGCACTGAAGAAATAGCCACAGCGGAGGAACTTCTTCTCCACTGAGAGGGTCCTCCCTTTTCCTTTTTCCTTCTGTTAAAGCACGAAGCAAAGAAAAGACCACCAACTTCAATTTAAATCACATTTAAAGCCAGCTTGTAATTCTGACTGGCCAGGGCTGTCTCTCCCAAAACCCACGGGAATAGAAGAGGGCACTCCAGCTCTCTAGGAACGCAGCTTTATAGCACAAAAGGTTGCAGAAAGGGGGTGTCTTGAGAATTTACAGATAACAGCATAATACAAAGGCCGGTAGTAGGTTAATGGTCTAAATGGTTCAGTACCTAGGGAGTAAATTTAGATCCCAACGTCAGAATTTATGAGGCGCCACTAAGGTTTTAGAGAGGGTTGTTATCTGGCCAGGGAAAACTAGAATTTATGAGGCGCCACTAAGCTTTCAGAGAGGGTTTTATCTGGTCAGGGAAAGCCAGGCATGGGTGAGTTCCAGGCACAGGCAGTCATTCCAAGCAAGTTTAGAAATCGCAGTAATTTATAGTAAAGCAGAAATTAACTTTTCATGACTTTTTGACAAGATGGCTCTCAGTCTTAAGAGGGGGTTAGCCTGGCTTGACCACCTCTCCCTGGGATGGCCTCGCGGGTCCTGCCCAGGCTGGGCTCGGCCTCCTGGCTGGGGGGCGGGGAGGGGGCAGGTGCCGCCAAGTCTCTCCTTGTCGGGAGACTGCTTGAGCAGCCTTATTGCTCAATTTTCTGTTTCTCTGAAGGAGTAGGTACTGCTTTGGGTTCAAGGGAAGAGGCCTCTGGGATTCAACAGAAGGGCTCTTTCACCCCGGGCAGGGAACAGTAAATTGGGCAGKCAGCTCCGCCACCGGAGAAAGCGGCTCACAGGGGCCAGTCTGTGCGGAGGTGCGTCCTCTGGTGCTGACACCTGTTGGACCTGTGCCGAAAGGCCTGGCCACACTGGCCGCACCTGTAGGGCTTCTCCCCGGTGTGCGCCCTGCGGCGCTGGGCCAGGTAGGCCCTCTGGCTGAAGGCCTYGTGGCAGTCACCGCAGGCGTAGGGCTTCCCGCTGCGGTGGTGTGACCGCTGGTGCGGGATGAGCCTGGAGCTGTTGCGGATGCGCTGGTGCTGGAGGAGGTGTGTGCTCTGGCCGAGGACCCGGCGCAGTGGTGGCACTCCCCGGTGTGGCTTCGCTGGTGCTCCACAAGCTTGGTTTTCTGGACGAAGGCTTTCTCACACGCGTGGCATTTATAGGGCTTCTCTCCCGTGTGAATTCTTTGATGTTGGATAAGGTTAGAGCTTTGGGTACAGCCTTTGCCGCAGTCTTTACACTCAAAGGGCTTCTCCCCAGTGTGAGTCCGGCGATGCCGAAGGAGGATGGAGCCATCGCTGAAGGCCTTCCCGCGGTCGCCGCAGCMGTAGGGCTTCTCCCCGCTGTGGGTGCGCAGGTGCTTCATGAGGTTGGGCCTCTGGCCGAAGGCCTGCCCGCAGTCGCCGCACTTGAAGGGCTGTTCCTGGCGGTGGAGCCGCTCGTGCTTGGCCAGGTTGGCGCGGTACCTGAAGGTCTTCTCACAGTGACCACGATCATGCAGCTTTTTCCCAGTGGGAATTTTCTGATCTTCTCTAACAACTAAGTTTGAATTTGAGATTTCCCCTGAGTCAGGAACTAGATTTGGCTTTTTTGACCGGTGCACACGTTGATGGTGGTTGAGGTAGGATCTCTGCTCAGAACTTTGCTCACAAGTCTCACATTTGTGAGGTCGCTGATCCGTGAAAGGCCTTCCCCCAGCCTCCCGGCTGCTTTCCTTGCCCATCCGTGTGTCTGGCCTGGAGTGTTTCTGCCGCTCTGACTTATCCAGGCTTCCCTGGCACTCAGTCCTGGTCCCAGGAGCTGAAACAGCAAACAGGGCTCATTCAGACACTAGAAGGAAAGCAGGAAGCTGCTGCTGACCCCGTGAATACCAGTCTGTCATCTCCAGAGCTGCTGCCCTGCTGATGGAGCCCAGGACTCAGAGGTTCTGGGCCCTGCCCAGGCCCACAGCCATGTGGCTGGGAAGCATTAGAACAAGCCTGTGCTGCCCGAGTGTGACTGAGGACAACTCTGTCCACCAGTACCAAGGCACAGAAGACAAACGCTTCACAGCACCATGGAAGCCAGAGCAAGGAGGGGCTCCAAAAGTCATAGATGATGAATGACAAAGAAAAAGTAAGACCAAGGGAGTCTGAGGCAATTCCAAAATCCATGGCAGGGCAGAGGGCCACACCCGTTGCATCCCTGCAGGAGGAAGGGAGGGGGGGAAACACAGGCTGGGCCCTTTGGCTCTCCCCAGAAGGACACTGCCACTCCCCAGGCTTTCTCTGAGGACCTGAAGGTGACCACCTGCATGACCACTAGAACCTCAAACTCCAGGCACCTATCTGGAATGCTCTTTAATACCTCAGACCTCCATGCATTTCAACACTTACGCACAGAAGCAGATACTGGCAGCACACAAGTGGGTCCTGCCAGGAGGCCCCTCAGAGGTGACATCAGTGGCCCACTCAGGAATCACCAGTACTGGCCCTGATTTGCCCACTGAATACCATAAGGCAACTCACCCCCTTTCTGAGCCAGGTTTCCCATCTGAAAAGCAGGGGTCACAGCAACATCATGAGAATGATACCAAGGTGAACAGATTGACCATCAACAGCCCAGCACCCAACACAGTGGGTCTCAACCAGCCAGCCAGTCAGCCAGCCGGTGGTGCCTCTGACATCACTGTTCCATTCCCAGGACTTAGGGGCCTGTCCCACGCCTTCAGCCACGCCCTTGCTGCACACAGATAAGTGCAGGACAAGTGTGCTGGACATTTAGCTAGCCAAGCTCCCTGGAGGTCTCAGGAGCACAGGCTGGAGCCACGGCTCTGRAAAGGGTCTGGCAGCCTGTCTACAGCTGTCTGCACACATCCTGGGACCCACAACCCTGCTCTCAGGTACACATCCACAAGCGCTGTCCCTGTGTGCCAGAGATGCATGCACAAGAACCCCAACCTGGGGACTACCAAGAGTCCTCCACAAGTAGAGGGAAAATAAATCATAGCACATTCACACAACAGAACACTGGCAACAAAACAGACTCAATTGCTGCTGCATGAAACAGGGGCACTCAGAGCTCAGCAGAAGGTGCAGCCTTGTGCCTTGGATGGGGAGTGGTGGGAAAGGACAGAGGAAGCCCCAGGCTCCTTGGAGCCATGCTTTCCCATAAAAATTCATTGAGCTTTCAACTTAGGGTTCCTCCCATTCTATAAGCATCTTCAAATAAGCAAATTTACAAAAGAAAAATTCAGGTGTGTTGATCCAGCAGCTCCTCCTTAGGACACCGTCATACAAGTGCAAAAGATGATCAGGACAGTGTCCATAGCAGCAAAAGCAGACAGGACTTTCTGGCTGGCAGCCACACAGAAAGCCCAACCCACCCACCAGTGCACAGAAAGGAAACGTGCTCAGGGGCCTGGTGGGCACTGGGTCGTTCCACTTGGGAGGCCATGCTCCAGGCTGGGCTGGGGCTCAGAGTACAGTAGCTGCTTAGCACACAGAAGGCCCTGGGTCTAGTCCCTAGTAACCCTCACCCCACACAACACTCAAAAACCAAGAAGAAGCAGTGCTTGTGCATAGGTGGGGAAAGGCCATCACTAGAAAAGGAGTATCAAGAAATATTCCAGGGGCTGGGGATGTGGCTCAAGCAGTAGCGCACTCACCTGGCATGCGTGCGGCCCGGGGTTCGATCCTCAGCACCACATACAAACAAAGATGTTGTGTCCACCAAAAACTAAAAAATAAATATAAAAAAATTCCCTCTCTCTCTCTCTCTCTCTCTCTCTCTCTCTCTCTCTCTACCTCTCTCTCTCTCTCTCTCTCTCTCTCACAAAAAAAAAAAAAAAGAAAGAAAGAAAGAAAAAGAAAAGAAAAGAAAAAGAAAAGAAAAAAAGAACAAAAAAGAAATATTCCAGAACACAGTTGAGCCTGGGCCGTGAGATTCAGGATGATAGCTCTCTAGCACTCTACAGTTGTCAAGTGAGCCAATTTCAAGGGGAATGAGCTGACGGTCTCATCACTACACCCTTGTCTGACCAGCTCTGAGGGCAGGGCTCCTTGGGTCCCCAGGCCCAAGCCTCCCCTCATAGCACCTGGCCTGCACCCATGCACCCTCCCTGTCTCTATCTGGAAGCCCGTCCCTACTCTGCTCCACAACACTGTCACCACCTAGAAGATTCTGGGTGAATTTCCCACCAAGGCACCCAAGCTGACAGAGGTGACCAGGGCCCCAGCAGAGGCCGTGCAAGCTACTGAGCTAGCCCTGATCCATCTCCCCATTAACCAGACACCCTGAACCCCAACAAATGCTGGTTCAGTGGCCAAGCTGGGGAACAGCTTCCCTCACACACCTGAGCGGCTGACTCTCATGTGCACTCTCCCCTGGGCATTCTGCATGTCCACCCAGGGCTCGTCCCCTCGCTCCAGCTGTAAGATCACTCCGGGCTTGGGACCTGTAGGTTCCTGCTCCTGGGAAGGAAAAGGGCCTGGGTTGGTAACCAGATGCAGGGCTATGCTGCAGGCCATCTGCCCTGGGGCTGCTAGGGGAAGGGAAGCAGAGGCAGAGGGTGGAGGTAGCCTCCATATCCTCTGGCGGTTGAGAATGGGCTGGAGGTGGTCTTGAAGACGAGGCCTGTGACTGAGCCCAGGGGCTTTCTCCACCAGGAGAACAGAACTCCCCTGAGGAGGGGCCTGCCCCAGGCCTGCAGCAGGAGCTCTGTGGAGGTGTGGGCTGACTCAGGAGGAACCCCGCTGGGCCTCTCCAGCCTCTTTTCTGAGCAGGCCTTCCTGGACCAGTGCAGCAGTACCATCTGTGGTTCCCTGGGTGAGGCTTCCAGCCCACCCTTGCTGAGCCCTCGGACCCCAAGGCTATTCCTGGAGCTGAGGCCTGCTCCAGGGCCTTACCCAGTGAGACTAGGTTCTGGTAGGTCTCCAGCATCACTTCCCTATAGAGGTCCCTCTGGGCAGGACCCAGGCGACCCCACTCGTCCTGGGAGAGGAGCACAGCCACATCCTCGAAGGTCGACTTGGTCTGAAACAACAGGATCCAGCCGCAGCCCCCAGTGTGGCCCAGGGTGGGCACCAGGGGCAGGGGCAATGCAAGCACGCCAAGGGCAGCATCAGGTCACCCAAGTCACACTTCTCTGCTGTCAGCACCCAGACCAGAGACACCTGACAGCATTTGACAAGAAAATTTGCCATGGAGAAAGCCCTTGCACACGGAGGACGCTTACCTGGAGTGAAACAGATGGGAACAAGGTCTCCATCGCCTGTGCCCTGGGCTTCCTGAAGGCAGTAGTCAGGAGCCTGTCACTCAGGTGCTAAGGGGAGACACAGGGATACAGGGAGGCCCAGCCCAGCCCCCTTCTTCATGGCTGGATGCTCAGGGCTGCCATAAGCAGGTCTGTTGCAGTACCTTCCCAGGCCTTCAGGCACAGACCTTCCCTGCCCGCCCCAGCCCCAACTCCACTGCCCACAGAGATGCCCCCCACCAACCCTCTGCCCCTTTGGAGGAAGACGGTATCACTCACTGTGTGTGGAGTGATAAAGACCATGCCCAGCCAATAGCGTCACCATATACAAGTCAAACATAATTAAAAGAACTATGTACTAGCCAGCAGCAACCAAAAGCTGACATTACAACAGCTACAAAACCACACAATAACTAAAGTCTAACAAAAAAAAAAAATATATTGCTGGGAGCAGTGGTGCATACCCAGCTACTCAGAAATCTGAGGCAGGAGGATCATTGGGCCCAGGAGCTTGAGACCAGTCTGGGCAACATAGTAAGATCCTGTCACAAAAAAACAACAAAAAAACCATACTAAATGAACAAAATAACAAAACTTTATTGAAAGATCTTAAAAAGACTTATAGAGAAACAAAAATTATAAACAGTAAATGACTCAATATAACAAAGATGTCAATTCTCCCTAAATTAATCTGTTCAGTGCAATTACAATAAAAATTTCAATAGGACATCGCCAGGCACAGTGGTGCATGCCTATAATGCCAGCAGCTCGGAAGGCTGAGATAGGAGGATTGTGAGTTCAAAGCCAGCCTCCGCAAAGGCGAGGCTCTAAGCAACTCAGTGAGACCCTGYCTCTAAATAAAATACAAAATAGGTCTGGGCATGTGGCTCAGTGGCTGAGTGTCCCTGAGTTCAATCTCTGGTCCCAAAAAAAAAAAAAAATTTTTTTTCAATAGGACATATGAAGTGAGACCAAAATGTCTATAAGTATCACATGAAAGAATAATGATCAAGGCAATGTCAAAAAGAACCCAGGGAGTCGGAGGTTTGCCCTACTAGACACCAAGGTTTAGGTGATAGCACTAAGCATGAGGTGTAAGTAGCAGGAAACAGAGGGGGAGAAGTCCATGCACATGCTACAGTGGCCAGGGATGTGCTACTCAACAAGTGTGCTGGCACAACTGGTTTCCCACAAGAAGTTAAAGTAGGTGTCTGCCTTCTGTGATATCTGGATACATATTTCAGGCAGGTTGAGGATCTAAATGTTTTTTATAAAGTCTATGCAGGAAAAGATTGTACAATTTGACTCCATCGAAAAGAAAAAGTCTTGGGGGCTGGGGATGTGGCTCAAGCGGTAGCGCGCGGCCGGGTTCCAGCCTCAGCACCACATACAAACAAAGATGTTGTGTCCGCCGAAAACTAAAAAAATAAATATTAAAATTCTCTCTCTCGGGGCTGGGGATGTGGCTCAAGCGGTAGCGCGCTCGCCTGGCATGCGTGCGGCCCGGGTTCGATCCTCAGCACCACATACAAACAAAGATGTTGTGTCCGCCAAGAACTAAAAATAAGTAAATATTTTTTAAAAAAATTCTCTCTCTCCTCTCTCACTCTCTCTTAAAAAAAAAAAAGAAAAGGAATTTATTAAAAATAAATAAATAAAATAAAATTCTCTCTCTCTCTCCTCTAACTCTAAAAAAAAAAAAAAAGGTGCCGTGCCTCTGAAGAAGAGTGGGCCTAGAACTGGGTCTGAACACAGCTTAACTCTTTTCTGGTTGAGCTCTACCACTGAGCTCTACCACTGAGCTATATTCCCAGCCCTTTTTATTTTTTGAGACTATTTAATTCAGTTGCTAAGCTGGTCTCATACTTGCCTCAACCTTCTGAGTTGCTGGGGCTACAATTACGMACCACTGCACCTGGGTTACAATATTTTCTTTTTTTAAAATGATTTTTAAAGAAATATTCATTTTTTAGTTATAGTTGGACACAATACCTTTATTTCACTTATTTATTTTTATATGGTGCTGAGGATCGGACCCAGGGTCTTGAACGTGCAAGGCGAGTGCTCTACTGCTGAGCCACAACCCCAAACCTCTTTCTTTTTAAACATTCTTAGTTGTAGATGGACACAATACCTTTATTTTATTTATTTTTAAGTGGTGCTGAGGTTTGAACCCAGTGCCTCACAGGAGCTTGGCAAGTGCTCTACCACTGAGCTACAGCCCCAGCCTACAATGTTTTCTTAAAAAAAAAAAAAAAAAAAAAGCTTGAACAATTGTGGCACTATGAGAACTGGCAATTCAAAATACTGGTGTTTGTTAATCCATTCTGCATACATGCTTTTATTTTAAAAACTTAGAGAAAACATATATTAAAAAGCACAAGACATGTGGGATGTGGTGTTGCATGCCTGAAATCCCAGCAGCTGGGGAGGCTGAGGCAGGAGGATTTTGAGTTCAAAGCCAGCCTCAGCAAAAGCAGTCACTAAGTAATTCAGTGAGACCCTGCCTCTAAATACAAAATAGAGCTGGGGACTGGCTTAGTGGCTGAAGTGCCCCTGAGTTCAATCCCTGGTACCAAAAACAAACAAACAAAACACAAGACACCTGTAATCCCAGCACTCAAAGGGCAGCCAGGACACTTTGGTGAGAACCTGTCTCAAAAAAGCTGGGCAGCTGGGCTGGGGTTGTGGCTCAGTAGTAGAGCTTCTTGCCTAGCATGTGTGAGGCACTGGGTTTGATTCTCAGCACCAYATATTAAAAAATGAATAAAATAAAGCTCCATCAAAAACTAAAATAAAAATATTTTTTAAAAAAAGCTGGGCAGCACTGGTGATGTGGCTCAGTCCAGCTTGTATAAGGCCCTGGGGTGGGGTGAGAGGAAGCACAGACCATGGAGAAAATTAAAAGAATTCAGATCTTTTGAAAAAATGAGAATCAATTTGGCTGGAGCCAGGCACGGTGGCGCCTGCCTGTAATCCCAACAGCTCAGGAGGCTGAGGCAGGAGGATCGCGAGTTCAAAGCCAGCCTCAGCAAAAAGTGAGGTACTAAGCAACTCAGTGAGACCCTG